TTTTTGGTGTTTTGTGTGTAGATGTGTGTGTGTGTGTGTGTGTGTGTGTGTGTGTGTGTGTGTGTGTGTGTGTGTGTGTGTGTGTGTGTGTTGGCTATAAGGCAACATTAGCTGTTAACCCTCAGGAATATAGCCCACCTCTTTTTAAAAAGGAGTTCTCTTTGATCTGGAGCTCACTTAATAGGCTAGATTCTGCTGGCCAGGGAGCCCCAGGGATCCTCTTGTCTCTGTGTCCCCAGCACTAAGATTATTAGCAAAAGCCACCGCGATGGGGCATTTTACATGGGTTCTGGAGATCAAACTCAGGTCCTCATTCTTGTCAGGCAAGCACTTTGCTAACTAAGCCATCTCCCCCAGCCTATGGCACACGGTGAATTCTTGAGGAAGAAGCACAGATTAGAGGGCTGGAAGTCCGAAGGGAAGGTTGCCCAAAAGAAAAGATTAACAGCAAAGGAGAACAAATTCAAGTGAACCGAAGAGTGACTGCATCCTCAGGAAAGCTCAGACTTCCTGATACCAGGACAATTGGAGCCCAAGTCCAGGAGAGGGTAGATGGAGAGAGTTCATGGAGCTCCTGTGTAATCCAGAGCTAGAACAGGTACAAAGGAGATGAGGACACCCAGGCAGCCATGATCAGCAAAAAGTGACTCCCCAAACATGGTACAGGGATGAGGAAGGCAAAGTGGGCATAACCCAGCGCCAGCAAAGACAGAGATGGGAGATCATGGAGTACAATACAAATGAAAGTCAGGGATTAAAGTAGGACATCTTTAGTTGATAAGATATAGAAGCCAAAGCTGTTAGCAGGATTGATGTTGGTTTCAGCTGCAAACAATGGAGAAGGCATTGCAATGGAGGAGCTACAATTAATGGCTGAGACCACAGCAGCCCATGGCCTCAGCGTTAGCCCCACCTTTCTAGAGCTCTACACACTCCAGACTTTCCTTTGGCCTCTCTTCAAGACAAACACTGCTGGATTTTAATGACCTTTATGCTTGCCAATGAATCACAAGACTTACCCATTTTGCCTTTCTGTAGCAGGCTTTTTCTTTTAGATCACCAACCTCCCAAATCATGACACGGAAACTTATTATTAGTTGTAAATGCTCTGACTTAGCTTATGCTCATTTCTGGCTTTTTTTCATTATCTTAAACTACCCTGTTTCTCTTCCTACATTTTGCCTCGGGGCTTTTTACCTTTCTTTCTGTATGTCTTTCCTGCTGACTCTATGTCTGGCAGGCTGGCAGCTTCTGGCCCTGGGCATGTGCCCCTCTTTCTCCTATTCTCTTCTTCTCTTCCCTCAAGCCTAGATTTCTCCTCCTATCTATTCTCTCTGTCCACCAACCCACCCATCCTTTCTCTGCTTATCTATTGGCCATTCAGCTTTTTATTAGGTGCTTTAGGCATGCAAGGTAAAACAGTAACACATTTTCATAACTAAACAAGTGCAGCATAAATAAATGTAGCACACCTTTATACAGTTAAATATTCCACAACATAAACAAATGTAACACATATTTACATAGCAAAAGTAAATTCCACAGCACCCTTTCAGAGTGCAAAGCAACTTTTATTTCCCATTGGAGAGACACTGGGGTTGCTGGTGTATAGAGATAAGTCACCATAATTCCCACTTGACCTTTTCTTGTAAGACAAGCTTCCTTCTTACATCCCTGTGCTGCTGAGGTCAGAGGTCATTTGTGGCTAAGTTCTATAGCCTCCCCCCTCCACATTCAGCTGCTTTCCACCTCTAGGTTGCCTTTCTTTCGGGTCATGCTCATCAAAGGGCCTCTGCTCATGGATGTCTTCCTGCCTAGACTCTGTGTTTGCAATACATCCCTCTCCTCCCTCATCAGCTGCTGCTTAAATTGAAGCTGCATGGAGGTGTCTTGTTTCTGTCACAGGGCATCTGCTGCTCATGCTGCTCTTTGCAGTTTCCTTAATCCAATCATTCATCAAGCCCAGTGCATCTGAAAAGGTCACTATGTCTGCCCTCCCACAAAGTGAACATGTATCTAAGGGTAAGGGAATACCTGGGGTATCTTGATTTCTTTTAAAATAAACAATGGATTCCTTATAAAATATTTGGCAATGCCAATCATCTGAGTACTGATCTGAGATAGGAACTGGTGAAGGGAAAGTGTGGGTGGAAGTATCTACACCCCAGTAAGGTGGGGTCCCTGACTGCTCTCCTTGGCCAAGTTGCCTCTAGCAGTGCAGGTTGTGGGGCTGTGTCCTGTAGCCTCCCCTTCTCTCTGCAGCTTCTGGCTCATCTAACTTGAGTCCCGGGCTTCTTTCCATGGTCTATAGTTCTTTCTCTAATAAGAAACTCTAAAAGGGCTTTGAGAACTCCATTCCACTGTTTGGGAAGAAGCCAGAGCCGATGCCTGAAGAACTTGCTTTCTTTTTTGGCTACTTCATTGTTTAGCTGTTTCAGTTAGTCATCTTCACTGAACAAAATCTTAGAGAACACTCTAGATACAGTTTTAGAAAATTGTGACTCACAAAAACGTGGCGAAATACAAGCCAAGCTATAGAGATTAGGAATCGTAGCATTGTGTTAACAATATTATTAGAGGAATATAGTGGAAAGTGAGCATGCTTTCAGTCTGGGCTTGCTCTGCTGCCTTCCTGTCTCTCTGCAGGCATCAGCTTCTCTATCTGCACCAGCTTCTTCATCTGTACCAGCTTCTCCATCTGCACCAGCTTCTTCTGCACTAGCTTCTTCTTCTGCACCAGCTTCTTCTGCACAGCTCTGAACCATGGTCAGAGAGACAATGCCCAGACAACAAGGTCACAGATTGGCGAGACTCCATTATTTGAATTCTTGGCTGGTTGGTTCCCTGTGATGCCTGCCCTTCCTTTGCCTTGTTTTTCACTAGCTTGAGAACTTCTATGATTGCTGGAAAATGGCACCAATTAAGGGAAGAGTAACTTAACCTAAGATAAATTACTTTCCTGGGTTCAGATTTCCCTAAAAAGGCCAGGGAGGAAGGATATATTCTTACACTGTGGCCAGAGGATGCAAAACCGTATTGGGTAGATCAGCTCCATATGGTTCCCAGTCTAGTGTTATCAAATGTTTAAAACTTATTTTGTAAACAAATAAGAGTTGCATTAAGTTATGGCCACTGAGTAGCTATGAGAGATCTGATTTGTCACACTAAAAGGGGAGCACATCCTAACTTACTGTTGCTTATGTAGCATCCTTTAGGACAGTGGTTCTCAACCATGAACTATTTTTCCCTGGGACCATTGGCCTTTCCTTCATTTTAAGAACTTTCTTGTGTCACCAAGATGTTACACAACAGACTGTTTTGCTTTGGCCTGTGGTGTCCTTGAAACCACTGTGCTCACCCAGTGAGGTTCATTCTGTTGGGTTTTGTTGGAAATGTCTGGGCTTTAATACAGTAGGGTGACTAAAAAACCCCTTAACTGTCAAGAAAGGCCACACTCTAGAACCTTCCAGCTGGGTTCCCTCCACCTGGGATACCCAGGAAAGCAACTGCATCTCAGATCCTGTATTGCCTGCTCTAAGAATTTGAAGGTGGTTTGTAAACTAGATAGCTCAATGTAGAATCTCCAATCTATGCTGGTTACGAATTTCCTGGTTTTGTAGTCAACTAAGGACTTGGGTTCATTTTTCAAATGGCCTTAAGTTACTTATTTTCTCCCAGATGGGTTTATTTTAGGAAATGAAAAGATGAAAGAACTAAGATAAGGCAAAAAAGTGGCACTATCATACAAGCCGTACCTCAGAAAACTATCCTAGTGTAGTAGCTAAAGCCTGAAGGACTTCACACATTCTCTAGACCCAGTGAAGCAGGTATGTGGGTTTCAGAAGAGTAGCCTCTAACCGTAGTGTCCTACTTTCAAGAACCCTGAGATGCCAGGGACAGTAGTGTAGAAATCTTTAAGTGTGTCTACCCCGTGGTCGGGCCCTGAACGTGGACACCAAGCTCTCCCGGGCCTGTTCTTGGGGCTGGCACATGCTGGTCAGACGAATCGGGTCAGTCTTGTGCTCCACGATGTTGAAAGGACAGGTTTTCAGGTGTTCAGACATGGAGGTGACTTCGTTAAACTCCCAGCTCTTGATTTTGGAGAAGAGGCTGCTGAACTGCCAGACCTGTCAGGAAAGAGAAACTCAAAGGTGAGCATGGGCAGTGAGCACTGAGTGTGAGCAGGGAGTGTGAGAAGAAGAGTATGAGCAGGTAGTGTGAGCAGGGAGTGCTTCCAGGCTGAGTGGATCTGAGCAGTGTGTGAGATGGCTGGCCCTGTTCCTCTGTGCTCAGCATCCACAGTGCTCAGCGGCTGCTGGACATCCCTTATTTCCTTCTGCATCTAATGCCCAGCACCTTGCTCATTAATCATCTTCCCAGCCCGCCTTGTAGTTGTTTATGACGCCTGATGCCAATCAACAATTGATACACACCTTCCCCAGCGCCCCGAGGAGCAACAAATATTAGATCTAGACATACTTCAAATGTTAATGATTAGCTCTCATGGGCTCTGCTCTGGAACTTTTGAGCAAGCCATCAGAAGCAGATCCTCCTTTCCCTCTCTACTTGGACTAGAAGGAAGCTGGGGACTGAGGAGCCCCCAGAAGCTACCAGGGACACTGAGGAAGAACTATCTTAGAACGCAGCCAACATTGAAGAAGTGGGATTAGAACAAAGGTCATCTTTAAGGTGCTAGATTAAACCTTACCTGAAGCTGTTGCCTTTGGATTTGAAAAAAATTATGTGTTAATAAATTTATTTTATCATTTATGCTCCTTTATGTTTGTTTTCTAAAACTTAATATGAAAAATATCCCAACAATGAAGGGTCTTCTTAGAATAAAGACCCCCCCCCAAATTTCCATGAGTATGGTGCTCAATCGAGCATTGATTTTTCCACCTGAGATAGGGTAGCAGAGTCATCAGTTTTAAAGAGCTGAGGGTAGACAGACTGATGCTCTCCACCATTGGTTATTGTTTCTGAGGTCTTAGAACTGTCATCCATTTCCCCTATAAAGCCACTTTAATAATGCTATCCTTTAGTCTCATGTGAGTTCTTTCTCCCTTTCTGCAAGAAAATTAGTCTGTCCTAAATGATGTCCAAAAGTGACTTGACATTTGCATTTGGAGCAAAATTGAGCCAAAAATAATGAGCTTATTTTTAGTATGTAAACTAAATTATTGACATCAGATTGTATAGAGAAAGATAGGTGCTGGTCCAGATGTACCGATAGAGGCAGTATATTGTTCTCATGAATGTTTATCACTAACATGGTTTGGTGGTAGTTGGGCTTTAATATGTGGATGCAGGCATAGACACATAAGAGAGTCTTGTAACTGTTTTGCCAGGAAGACTGTTTAAGGAAAAATTAAGGAAATACATACAGGATACTTTGGACATAATCAATAAAAATAGATGCAAACAGTTCTAATTCCCCCATACCAATTTTGAGAATATCCATGTATTAGGGACAAACACAGCAGTGGCATTAGTAATGCAAATAGAGATATCATATATTCACGGTTCACATTATCAACACATTTGCTATAATAAAAGATATCATAAACACTTTGAATATGATGAATTAGGAGTCTAACTTCTGGAGAAGCTGCAAGTCAGTGAAGATGACTCAATTGAGAGAAAGAACATGGAAGGAAAAGATTCTTTGATTTATATACTGCAGTGTTTTATATTAAATAGGCAATTTAGCCATTGGAAATCAGTGGACCAAACTCACATACAATTTCAGAATAAAACTTATTTTTGAAAGCCAGTTGGCATGAGACTGAGAGTAATGTGTTTGTCTGTCACATCACATCAATCAGAGCCCAAGCAGGGAGCAAATAATACACTCAAATTGGGTGCTTTTTTTTTTTTTTTTTGCAAGGCAGTGTGGTTTGCAAATCTGGGGGCAATGTCCAGCTAGTAGCCTGAATTTTCATGGAAAGAGAGAAAGTGTTCACTACACCCAGAAAAAGCAACTGTGTTTATCAAGTCACCCGGTATAACCACCCCCAATGGAGGGACACAGCCACTTCATGGTGTCTTGAAGGGGAGGAGTGGGCATGCTGAGGAGAGTGGCTCCTTCAACCTAACAAGAAGCTGGAGCCCCAGCTGAGGCAAGCTGCAGAGATAAGTCTCTGGGATAGGCCAGGGTTGAGAAGGATGGAGAACAGAAAGCCAGTGTGGATGGGTGAGCAATGAAAGATATTCAAGGCTTATAAGCAGGCATTTGCATCGGTACTATACCGCCGGACATGTGTTTATATTCTCGTTCCTGCTGGATTGAACTTCTCAAGAGAGTCTTATTTTCAGCAGCCTTCCCGATGCATGGTACAGCACTTGTCCCCAAGAAAGCACTTAATAAATATTTATTGAATGAATGAACAAATGAATGAATGAATGAATGAATGAATGAATGAACAATGTTTACTTGCCTGACTGTGGACTTTCCAGGAGGTGCCTCCATGAGAGTACCTCTTCTTCTTCCATTGCAAGAGGACCATCCCTCTCTCTTGCAACAAAGTGGCACAGATGTTCCTCATCAGTACCGACACCTGGGAGAGCTGGGCCAGGCTGATGCTGTCCAGAAACCCAGCAATGTATTGCAAAACCTCCAGGGGCAGGCTGGTTAGAGAATTCAGGCTTTTCCTGCCATGGCCCGAGAGCTGATCGCTCTCCCATCCCTCACTCAGCTCTGGAGCAACCTCTGGCTTGATGGCAAAGGTCTTCAGCTCTTGGCTGTAGATTACTTTCGCTTTTTGTCCAGGGGGCCGGAAGTGGTTTTGGACAAATGTACATCCCAGGTAGGCGAGAGGGCATCGATGCTGGAACCAGCCATTGAGACACGACTGAATGTCTGTGTGGACGTTCTTGAAGTGCAGGGGAAATTCATCCCTCCTGAAGAATTTATTGCAGGTGAAAGTGAAGGCTGAGCTGCTTTTATTGTGTCTCCGGGTCACGCACTCACTATGGAGTTCCACATGCAGGCCCCCGGGTTGGGCAGTGGTGCCTAGGACATCAGCCAACGCTGTCTCTGAGGAAAACTGCTCTGGCTCAAAATTATATGTTTGGGTGGCAAGGTCCATAAAGAGCCCATCGATGCTCCTGGATTCAGAGATGACATGGCCTTTGAGTTCTCTTTCCAAAGCACACTGGAGGGTGGTCTTGATGAGATCGGATTTGGGCAGGTCCTCCACACAGACGCCCAAATCGGAAGTGTCCACAGCCTTGTGTTCACTTGGTCTGCACCTCAACATGGCATCTCCCAGGCGAGCTCGCTTCCCACAGTAACTCACAGGAATTTTGAAGGTGTAAACCGTTTTCACTTCTTGAGCCTCAAGGTTGCCGTAAACAAAGTCTCTCTCCTTGGGCGTACAAGCTGGCATCTGCCCGAAGTGGATGAGCATCCGCCCGTTGTGCACCAGATACATGTTATAATCTTTGGCATCTACGGCTGTTTTTAGTCTTTCCAGAACACCATCCTGCCAGGGGGCAAGCCCTGTCATCTCCATGGCAGTAGGAAGATCCTGGGGCTTCGGGCTTTCCTGTGGTTCTCTTCCTCCGGGAGAGCCCTCTGCATCACCTGTGTTACCATTACTGGAACACTGCTCTTTCCTGGTCACATTCCCACTCTTGTCTTCACTCTTCCCCAAGAAACTGGTTAAAACCGAGGCTGCATGCTCCTTGCTGAACATACTTTCCCACTTGCCAAACTTGGCCAGGTCCATTCCTTCTTTGGTTTTTGCCAGTGCATCTTTTTCTTCCTGACTGAGTTCCATCATCTGCCCGTTAGTTGCTGGCAGACAACAGTGTGGTACTGGCCTGGCATCCACTCCCCCGACTGCACCTCCGGTCTCCTCCCAGCTGGTGTCACCATTCATGGCTGGTTCCTCCTCGGTGGCGTCTCTGGTTTCTGGGAAAAGCTCTACCATTTTCAAGGATCTGAAGAGAACCTTCTGGTCCTGGAGGGCCAGGGCTGTGTCCAAACACTCCTCGCTGGGAGTCTCTTTCATGATGTTCTCATGAAGGACCGTTTCTGAGTCCACATTCGGCCAGCGGTTCCATTCCATGGAGCAGCAGACCACGCTGGCGGGGCACACCTGCAGGTGCTTAGCCAGCTTGTGGCGTGCCATGGAGAGCGGGCAGCCATACTCGGAGTTGAGGCACGGAACCTGCTCTAGAGGGCAGAGGAGTGTGTGCTCTGCCTCTTTGCACATGTGGAAGGTAGCGCCACAGAGCAGGTGGCAGCTTATCACCTGGCAGGAGACGCTGGGTTCCACCGGAACGTGGCAGTGGCGGTTGATACATCCCTCACAATGCCTGTGCTGCTCAGGTGGAGGCCTGCGTGCCCGGCCCTGGACACAGTGGGTACAAAGGCAGAAAAGACAGGTGAGCGCTGGAAGGGGAACAGAATACACTCCTGCAGTGACTTACCTCATGTCTCTTTAAAACTCCTGTAGCAACCTCCTAATTCAGAGACAATGGGTAACACAGCAGTCCAGGACAGTCTCTGTAGCAGTTTATGCTGTGTAAGTGGTTTGTGTGTTTAAAACAGATTCCAATGATTGGGCCATGACAGACTACATTTAACAACTGTTATTTTCAAACTATGTATTATGGGTGATTTGTAACACATTGCTAATAGTTTTGTCTTAGGGTTACTATTGCTGCAATGAAGCATCATTACTAAAAGCAAGTTGGGGAGAAAAGGGTTTATTTAATGGTTTACACTTCTACATCAAAGTCCATCACCAAAGAAAGTCAGGACAGGAACCTGGAGGCAGGAGCTGAGGCAGAGGTCATGTAGGGGTGCTGCTTACTAACTTGCTCCTCATGGCTTGCTCAGCCTGCTTTCTTATAGAACCCAGGACCAGCAACCCAGGGATGGCCCCACCACAATGGGCTGGGCCCTCCCATATCAATCACTAGTTAAGGAAATTCCCTACAGCTGGATCTTATGAAGGCATTTTCTCAATTGAAGCTCCCTCCTTTCAGATGACTCTAGTTTGGGTCAAGCTGACATAAGACTAGCCAACACAGCCCGGCGGTGGTGGTGCATGCCTTTAATCCCAGCACTTGGGAGGCAGAGGCAGGCGGATCTCTGTGAGTTCGAGACCAGCCTGGTCTATAAGAGCGAGTCCCAGGACAGCCTCCAAAGCCACAGAAAAACCCTGTCTTGAAAAACCAAAATAAATAAATAAATAAATAAATAAATAAATGAGAGACTAGCCAACACAACTATCAATATGATTTTGAACATTGCTTTTTAGACATAAGACTGGATTCCAATTTACCTATATTTCTCATCATGCTTATCAATTTTTGTTTAATAATCCCTTCTAAAGAAAAAAAAGATATAAAGGAGAGAGGGTGGATGTGAGATGGAGGGAGAGTAAATATGATCAAGATATATTGTATGAAATTCTGTAGTAATTAAAAGTATTATTTAAAATTCCTGTCTACGATCATGAAGATACAGATTTATATGGCTTAGGAATCTTTATTTTATTTTTATTTTCCATTTTGATCTACTATATTGAGATTATATTTTTGTATGTAATTTAATTCAACACCAAAATCATATTTGTTCTTGGCAAACTTTCCTCATAATGCTGGTGCGTGTAACACTACTGAATGAGTGTGCTGTTATTCATCTAGCCAACTATGCCAGAGGACAAGACCGGGTCTTGTTTTGTTCACATTTTCCTCTCTAGAATCTAGCAATTGACATAAGCCACTCTAGGTATTCAGTAATGCTTCCTGAATGAAGGAACAGTTGGCCATTTAGATTATTGTTGGCATTTTTAATATTTTTACTTTTTAAAAATTTCATTGATATTGCATAATAATCACACATATATATGTATGCATTACAATGGCTAATGATCACATCAGAGTAATTAACATTTCTATCTCATCATTTATTATTTCTATGTGTTGAGCAACTTATTTTCATTTTTTCACTAAAAAATCTTTGCTCATGAATCTTTCTCATCTTTCCACTTAGTCAGTGCCCACTTTTGATAATAAATATCATTAACTGACATCTATAGCCATTGGCTTGGACTCTGGGATAAATAGGAGTTAAACCTGGACCTCTCAACAATGAAGCACCAACAAAATCCTGATACTTACCATGGCTTCCCAACGTCTGGCTTCTTACCTCTAGGGGAAATAGGAAAATATCGATGATTAGTAAGGAATGTGTTGTAGTTATTTATATGATCAAGGGCCAAAGAAAGTTCACGTGGTCTTTCATTAAATTCTGCTCACCACCTTGGAGAAGTTGTCCCATTTTACAGTTAAGGAAATAGAGACTTGAGAAGCTAACTTACCCAAGGTCACTCATCTGCTAAGTATGGAGTCAGGTTTCCAAGTCAGGCCATGCTGGCCCAGGCTCTGCACTGATCCACATGTTCTCTGATGGGGTCTGTTCCAACTATGGGACCTGTGACTTCTGCTTCTTGAAACCTTTCTTCACTATTTACCTCCAATTGCCCATCCAGCCCTAACTTCCCTGCCGCTCAGGGGGCTTTGTCTACTGAGAGGCCAGCCTGATGTCCAGCTTGACCTGGGGCATAGCTATCCTATACCATTCACCTAGTATCTTCAGCTGTGCTATGGCTAGTTCAGGGGTCAAAACCTCCAAACTTAGAAGCAGGCCACAGTGGGGACTATGGCAACCGGAACAGAAGCTGTCCTGCCTTCGGATGAATTGAAGCTGCCCAGCTCTGGTTGCTTGGTTCTATGAGGGAATGTGTTGCCAGATCTTCTGGGTTTTCCTGAGAAGACAGGAGGCAGATTTCTGTGAGTGTGATTCAGTAAAGTGGTTAAGAGGCTGACTGCATAAGTCTGTCCTCTAGCTTTATGCGTCAGTGGCTATGAGGCTTTGAGAACATTGCTTAGCATCTTTTAAATCCATTTCCCCTCTGTGAAGGACGTTACCTACACCTCTATTGAGCAGGATAGCACTATTGAGAGGGATAAATGAGTTAAATATATATAAAAATTTTAGAACAGTGTTTGTGTAACCCATATACTTACTCTTATAAAAGTAAGTATTCTCTATTTCGTCATAGGGCAAAATATTTTACTACATTATATATCAGAAAATCCTAAGAATTTTAAGTGTTGCCAGCTAATTCAATATAAATAACCACATTCTATTTGGGTAAAACAAACTATTCAGGCTAGATTAGGTGTGCTGGCTGAGTTTGTTACCCCTGGCCTAGAGAGTCAGCAAGGCTGTCCTAGTTTGTGTTCATCTGGGGCAGAGCTAGGAGGTTAGCACTCCAAAATCAGAAGGTGTAAAACCTTACATTTTTATTTATTTAGAATTTGACAATCCCTTGGGTGATTTCTCTCCCAGTAAAATTTTTTTCAAACATATACAAAAGGTGAATTATCATACACACACAAAAAAATTCATAACACACCACTATAACAATTGTTAGCATCTTGCTATTTTGTGCCTCCTCCTCTAGAATGGTTAGAGCCACCCCACATGATAAAGAGACACTAATGATGCTTCATCCCTAAGCACTTCAGCATGGACTGTTTTCACTGGAACTTGTGGTACCATGGTCTCATCCATAAAAACTAAAAACAACTACCTAACAATAGATAAAAGAGAGAAAGAGAGAGAGAGAGAGAGAGAGAGAGAGAGAGAGAGAGAGAGAGGCATGAGACAGGATCTCCCTTTGTAGCCCTGGCTGTCCTGGAACTCTCTATGTAGATTAGGCTGGCCTTGAACTCACAAAAATCAAAAGCCTCTGCCTCCCCAGTGCTGGGATTAAAAGTATGCACCACCACACCTAGCTTGAAACAGAATTCTTTTCAATACCTATGTGTTGAAGTTGGGGAAGTCTTTTTTATCTTTAGTCTGTAATAACCTCCCCGACATCTTTAAGGAATTTTTGCCCTGGCTCTCTCTATGCTTCCATTTATCTGTCTACTCATTCAACAAACATTTGTTGATTGTGCTCTAGGCGTCAGTGTACTCAGTGCCCATGAGTCACACAAACTGATGTGAAACTGAGTCTTAGACACTTCCATCCGTCTCACCTGTGACACTTGTGGATATGAAAATCTGCATTGTTCTATTTGGTAGTCACCCACATGCAGCTGTTTCAATTTGATCAAAATGAAATAAAATAACTCCTCCTTCATGCCAGTTGTATTTTAAGTGTTCAGTAGCCATGTCTGCAAGTGGCTAGTGTTGGATAACACAGAATAGGACATTTCCATTTTCACAGAGAGTTATAATGCTCTGTGCTACTGTAGAATCTGACTGCACCGTGGCTATGTGTAGGATAAATACTGAAATTACACCTTCAATACATGTCCTGTGTTTGTTTGTTTTGTCAGTTTAATACACACTAGTATTACCTGGGAAGAAGAACCTCAAATGAGAAAATGCCTCCATCCATTACCCATAGGAAAGTCTATAGTGCCACCCATGGATAGTTACTTGGTTCTGGGTTGTGTAAGAAAGCAGGCTTAGCAAGCCATGAGGAACAAGCCAGTAAGCAACATTCCTTCATGGCCTCTTCTTCAGTTCCTGCCTCCAGTTTCCTGTCTTGAGTTCCTGCCCTGACTTCTCTTCACGATGGACTATAAACTACAAACTTAAATAAACACTTTCCTCCACAAGTTGCTTTTAGCCCTGCTGTTAATCATAGCAGTAGAAACTGAACAAACACAACATACTTCCAATCTGATTATTCTGATTGTCCCGAACCTTCGTTCTAGACACCACCATGAGTAATCATGAAGGAGGATCATTCCAGGAGACAGGTAAGAAGGCCGTGACTCAGAGCATCAAATATGTTCAGGGCCAATAGTAGAAAAACAACGGTATGAGAGCCAGAGGAGCTGGACAGGGTCAGAGGGCCGAAAGGGTTGGTCTGCCTTATGGGCTGAATGTTCTGTCCACCAGAAGTTTTACTGTTGCAATCTAACCACCAATGTGATGGAGATGGAGTCTTTGGGAAGTGATTGGGTCTTGAGAGCAGAGCCTTCATGAATGAAATTAGTGCCCTCATAAAAGGGAAAGGATCCTCATGACTTCTGTCCTATCAGCAGATTAAAAACAAGATAGCATGCAGACCTTCAAAATACAGCAAATCTTCCATCATCTTGATCTCAGACTCCCAAGGGAGAAATAAATTGATATTGTTTTATGTTACCTAGTCCCTGGTGTTTTGTTATAGTAACCTAAATGAGCTATGATAGACAGAACAGAGTCAGTTCAAAGAACACATCTTTTGTGTGCAGGTTGACCCTTGTCATATTTGAGATCATTCCTAGAGGGAAAATCCATGGTGGACTTCATGTTGAAATTCTTAAATATTAGACTAAGGAATCTGGAACTGTTTGGTATACAATAAGGTGCATTTCACATTGTGATTTGGCAGCTAAGTGGGATGGAGTAAGAGGCTCTAGAGTAGGGAACTAATGTAGAGAATATGATGTAGTTTGTACAGGTAAGGCTGGAGACAGTAGAAACATAAAGATGAATCTGATGGGAGGCACTGCAAAGGGAGACTCTAGTTTATTTCTGACTGGAGATGTGGAAATGAGTTAAAGTTGATGCCAAGATTTTAATCCAAGTTGACCACAAGTTTTGAGAAAAACCGAAGTCTATGAAGAAACTCCACGAGGAGGCAAGATGAGTCCAACCAGTTTGATATAAGTTGTTCAAGGTGATGGCAATCTTGTGATGAGAAGAGGAACTTGGAGTGAGAAAGCTCTAAGTGGGAAATGAGAACACAGAATAGATATCTGAGACATGAAGTATTAATAATACCCAGCCATGTGTGACCACTTTGGGGACATTAGGAAGAAGGGCAGCCAGAGGAGAGACCAAATGTTGAGCAAATCAGGACTATGCTGTCACAGATATAAAGGAAAAGGTGAGTAATGCCACCTACACTGCCAGAAAAAAATGGTGACAGTCATGGCTACATGTGCTTACAAGCAATCCTCAAACAGCTCTTGTGGCATTTCAGCTGTGGAAGCCTTGTCCTTGTGAAACTGGTGTTTGATGAGAGAGAGAAGCACATGCTTTCATGCTGACAGGATTGTGGCCCCTCAGAAGGAATGGCACCATCTGCATCCTGTTCAGAACAGCAGCTGCAGTAAGGATGGAGTGTGGAACACCCTGGATCCCTTCAGGTAGAAAAAAGACTGATCACAAAGGCTGTGGGAGCATGGGATAAAACAACTAACACCAGGAATGTCCGGCATACTTAGTACTTGTTGCCAATGTACTTAGTCACAATGCTGAGCTCAACTTCTGGGAAGAGAAACAAAGAGTTTGACTAGTTTACTGGACCCCAGGCATAAGAACTCTGCTCCCCAACTCTGCTCGAAGCCCAACCCCTCCCCTTAAGTGTTTCAGAGTTCTTAGGAACCATCAGTGAAGGTGGGAAGATACTATAGCTTTGTTGTTCTCTATTCCTGTGGTGTTTTTGAAAATATCTCTCCAAGAGAAAACAGTGGATTCTGTCAACAAAGATGTTCCCCCTTCTTATTTAAATGCCCCCATTTAAAGACCTCATTCTAAACTCTAGAGTGTCACCAGCTGAGTGACCTTGAGATAGGTCACCTTGAGATAGGTTGAGCAAATGTCACCTTGGAGAAGTTAGGCAGTAAAAGAAAGGAGAAAGACAGTTGTAGCCCAAGACAAGCCCACACCTCAACCTTTCATTGTATACTTGGGGGAAATTTTTTCATTGGGATAAGGGTCAATCCAGATCATTTTTTAGCTTTGGAGCCTATCCTGACACTCACTCTGGAGACCAGGCTAGCCTGGAACTCACAGAGATCCGCCTGCCTCTGCCTCCCGAGTGCTGGGATTAAAGGAGTGTGCCACCAATGCCTGGCTCCAGAACTCTTTGAGAGTCTAAATTATTGCCTGGGATTCTCCTGGTTTATTATTGGAAATCAGCCACACATCCCAGGAGTTCCCTTAGGAGCAGGCAGTGAATTGATTAACTTGAGTTTCAGGCTGTGAGTTTTGCACTAAATGAATTAAACTAGATACAGCATCAGTTGCCTTATGATGTAAGAAAATTTCTCTCATCCTCTGATCCAGTGCTCAGTAGCTGGATGCTTCTCTTTGGAGTTTAGCTGACTTACCTAGACTGAAGATATATCTGTGTTGAGTATAATGGATGAAGAAACATGTCTTAGTTAGGGTTTCTATTGCTGTGATGAAACACTGTGACTAAAAGCAGGTTGGGGAGGAAAGGGTTTATTTGGCTTATACTTCCATATCACAGTTCATCTTTGAAGGAAGTCAGGACAGGAACTCAAACAGGGCAGAAACCTGGAGGCAGAAGCTGAAGCAGAGGCCATGGAGGGGTGCTGTTTACTGGCTTACTCATGGTTTTCTCAGATTTCTCAGTTTTTTAGAGAACTCAGGATCATCAACCCAGGGTGGCATCATACACAATGGTGACTCCACCCACCATGTCCCCCATCAATAATTAAGAAAATGCCCTACAGCTGGGTCATATGAAGAAATTTTCTCAATTGAGGCTCCTTCCTCTCTGATGACAGACAAGGACACTGAGACACAAAGAGAGCTCCATTTGTCAGGCTTCAAACCCAACACTCGATGTGTTCCTCAGGGACATATGTGGTCCATTTCCATCATTTGGGGAAGACACAAGACCATGAGTAGAGTGCACACAATAGAGCAGTCACTTGTGTAACCCTTCCAGAGTGGAAAGGAGCTAGATGATCCTTATCAGGAAATGCCTCTGTCTCCATGGAGATATTTTTGTAGGCCTTTCAATCAGATCCTACATTGGGTCCCCTTTAAGTGGAACAAACAAGAGGACCATCTACATTTGGTGGTGTCATGTTTCAGAGAATACAAATGTGAAAGAGAAAGTTTCAGGGTTAAAATGCTGCACTACAATATTGGTTCTGATATTTGATGTGAAACTATATCAATTACACATATTACAGAAACTCTTCACTGTGGAAGAAATGATAAAAAGATACACTTGAAATAGTGTATGATTTCCAGGTGTCTCTGCTCCCTTTACTTTCTATGCTCTTGTGTTCACCCTTAAACCCTCTATCCCCACCTCTAACAAATTAAATTTAGTCAAAAATGTGAGCAACATGCCTTGATCAAAATATGAAATTTAAATTGCCCCTTTCCAAAAGAGACAATAACAAACATGATTTAGACTTTATAAGTCCAACAATAGACACACACTCAATCTAATTGGCTCTATTAGGTATAGTCTGAGTGAAGTTGATGATAGCAGGTGTGTGTTAAAGGAGTGAATATCTCTATGAAGAAATGGAGCATTTAGAACCTGGCAAGAGCTGGGCATGGTGGAGCATACCTTTAGTTCCAGCATTCAGGAGGAGGCAGTGGCAGGTGGATCTCTGTGAGTTTAAGGCCAGCCTAGTCTACATAGTGAGTTCTAGGACAGTAAAAGCTAAAAAGAGAGACACTGTCTGAGCTAGCTAGCTAGCTAGCTAGACAGACAGACAGACAGACAGACAGACGATGATAGGTAGGTAGATAGATAGATAGATAGATAGATAGATAGATAGATAGATAGATAGGGCCTGGTGGGGTTGGGGACAGTAGTTTAACCAGATACTGGTGGTGGCATTCTGCAGACCACTTAGAAAGTGATAAAGTTGCTAAGTCAAGGCAAAGGAAGTAGAGCAGTGGCTCTTAAGGCTTTTAAGAAGAGGTCCCCACAGCAAAAGCAATATTGTCTGTGAACTCGTTAGAAGTCTCGTTTGAGTTCCAAACCCAAATCTACTGAATCAGACCTACTGATTCCCACTAATTTTGTGGAAGTTCAAATTTGATAATCATTGAATTCAAGGTATCTTGTGATAGAGCTTGAAACACAAGGGAGCTACTGCCAGGTGGGTGGGAATAAGCAGAAAGGCTCATGTTTTCCTTCTTGAGACAGTCTTGCTATGTAGCCCAGGCTGGCCTGCTAGATGAGGGGCTTTCATGAGAGGACTAGAAAGGCAGTGGGCAGCTATGTTCACATCTGTATCTAGCATCACTGTCAATGTCTGATCTCTGATCTGCTCTGATATAATGTCTATAGGATCAGGGTCACTTCTTTGTCTTTCATCTCTAGAAGACACTCTACCTTTAAAGCTTTTTACTTATTAGCATTTAATTCTCATAGGTGATTATTTGCTTGGGGTGGGGGAATGACTGGCAGGTTGTCCCCTTGAAGACCTCTAATCTAGCATATCCAAGTCTCGTGCAGACGGCAGCCCCATACACTTCTGCCTCAGTGCCATGGAAACTCTGGCAGAATTAAATGGCATTAGACAAGGCCACAGTGAAACTAATTGTGCCTAAGCAAATAGGTATGGTACTAACATAGATTCCTGTACAGACTTGGGGGTACATTGGAGTTTATAGACGGTGACAAGAAGGAGTCAGAAGATAGGGCATCTGAGTAGTCCCTTTAGATCTCCTTTGACTCAGCATTGGTGGCTTGAACCCAAACACCTCACATCCTTTTCTGCTCAGGCCACTTCCCAGGCTGTCCTCAGCTGAACTCAGAACTGAAGAAATATAAGAAAATAAACAGGCCCCCTGGCTGTTGCCAACTGTTTTCATGCACGTAATGGTGTATGGTTATTCCAGGAGATAGGAGTAATTTATCTGCCTTCCTAGCTTTCATGACCATGAATGGCTTTCATCATTTTACTTCTGCTGTTCTGGGTGAGCATGCTTCAAGGCAGTCACAGCTT